GCGGGGCGCCGTGAACATGCTGTGCTCACCACATGCTTGAGTGACGCCACAACCATGCCGCCTCTCCAGACCCAGTCTACTCCTCTGCTGGCATTATTAAATGAAGGATGCCTTCTGAAACGTCGCCTTCAAATTAGTACTTACTCGTCCGTAATATGTGGTGTTCATGAGAAGCATGGTAATTTGCGATCAGTCGCGTGGTAAATCAGGTAAGCAATGTGATTGCCTCGTCCTACCGTTGTCGCTTCGTGGAAAAAGTTAGAATCATGCCCTGCCATCACCCTTTAAGTTGCGACGACAGGAAAAAAGGAACTTTTTCGTCTCCCCTCTCAGTTTCGCGCCAAATAGTGAAGGTACTTTTGCCACCTCGTGACGATGTCGTTCTGCTCAATTGGCACCGAGCTTTGCACCCGAAACTGATCAACTTTGCCGATGCCGCCATGTCGTGGAGCAGATAACGCACTATTTTCTCGACAGCGGAGGCACTTGTAGCGGCCGCATTACACCTGTAGCTGCGAAGTACCTCCGCCAGCCTCCGCCGCGCTACGTGTACTCTGCCTGCTTCGCCCCGTATTCGGAATATGTCCATGTTTTCCGTGAAGCCGTCCCAAACCAAGACGTTCAAAACCCTCTCCGTATTTCGTGCACCGGGACATATATTTTTTACGGGTTCCGGCACACGAATCCGGAATGTGTGTCGGTTTGGACCGTGCTTCACCGTCATTGAAATATTTTTTTCTTTTTTTTAAATGGAAGGTGCTTGAAAAATTTGAAAAACGAGGTGTCTACACTCTTTCACAGCGGAGCTGTTAAGGGCTAGTTTCCCCAGTATCGTGTCCGTGGGCGAAAAAATCTCGACACAAAACTCTGGACAGCTTCCACCATCTAATAGCGACGGTGGCAACCAGACAACCGGCCTGCCGGTTGTCTGGTTGCCACCATCGCTCACAGATGGCAGCAAACCTTTCCACTCTGGCTTGCCGACTTGCGGCCGGCCATTACTTCATTCCATCACAGTACAGCTTCGCTGGTCTTCCTTCTTCTCCACAGTGAAAAGGCTGAGATTTTTTCTTTTTCATATCAACGTTTAAAACACTGTCCCTGCAACATAGAAGCAGACTGATCCCTGTGTACATACATTCGTTCAGCAGTAGCGAAAGCAAGGCAGTTGATGTCTTGGCATAACTATGCGTATGTAAAAGCACTTCTCAAAGCTACAAGCTCATGTTTGTTGGAAATAATGATAAAACTATTCCATTCTTTATGTTCAGAACTCTACGGCTAGGCAAAATGCTACCGATACTTCGTTAATTGATTTCTGATGCCGCAAAGTTCTACTCTAACAAAGAACCTTGAAACTACCACAGGGAGGAATCTGTGAATTAAAAAGCCGCTCATTCTGGTACTGAACTTCCTTGACACAGATCTAGGTAGTTTTTATCACTGAAGTCAACAGAAGAGACTTGTCTAGAGAACTATTCATAAGCCCAATCAAAGGAAGACACCATAAAACGCAAACCCAAGTTTAAAGCTCTTTTTTTTTTTTTTCTCTTAAATTGAGCCATACGGCACGCGCTAGCTGGCGCGACTATACGTACCGCCGCAAAGTGACCGCATCCGGTATGCTCTCGAAGTAGGCTTGTAGCGTAGCATGTCCGAGGCTTTTGAATGGAATCCCAGCACCATTCATAGACCGGTATTCCGCTGAAAGATACACGCAGTGAACATGGCGAACAGAATTGCCACCACGTTGTTCACGCTTCGGCTGGTACATGACAGTCCCTATCTACATCATAACTTGTATTTAGTGACTACTGAAACTGAGTTAACATTAACGGTTCGAACACTCGATTCTCTACATACCCTCCAAGGCTTGCAGCGTCAAGCCGTTTTTTTCGCTCACAAGGATGGAGCTCAGGATGGCTTTTACTTCGTCGCTGTCAGCCATCTCAAAGATGTCAGTGTTTATGTCTATTCAGGCGCGGTCGTCCTAGAAGTTGGAAGAGTAAACATTAAGCGTACCGTACTAAGGAGGACAGTAATTAGTGCATTAGCAAACGGACAATTGCGCCGCCTGAACCTAAACAAAAATATTTGAAATTGAGCGGCGTCAGGGTTGTTTGCTGGTTTGGTAGACCTTGCAGGTAGAGCAAAAGTGGCCAAGATTAGCTAAATTTCAGAAACTTTAAAAATAAGAGCAGGTAAAAACAAAATATGAGCCAGAAAATATTATATTTTTGTATAAAATAATATACAAGCTTTTTTATTTACAAATATATGTCAACTTTTACTTTGGTGCGTGAACTAGAGTAAAAACGAAGATAGACCATAATCAAAAACAAAGTAGCCGAGACGATCCATTCAACATTTTGTTTACATATTTCGGGTATCCACGTGTTTTCCTCATGGCTCTGTCCGATCATTCGCTAGTTTTCTATCTCGGCATCAAAGACGAGTACGTAAATGGCAATCCGACGTCGTGGAAAGTCAACAAGGTTGGGGGCACACCGGTGAGCCTCCATTTATCGCACACTTGTTGTTCAAGCCGTCAATCGTGAGAAGGGACGGACAAACACTTGAGACTGTGTTTGCCCGTCCCTTTTCGTCCCAGTCTCAGGGTTTTTAGTCAAATGTTTAACCACCTCCGGCTCGTTTGCGCCTTAACCTCTTGTTCGAGAATTCTTTTTTCTAATTAATAGGACTGGACCAGTACCGCTCTCAAGTCGGCGCCCGACCTCAAGTGTTGTCTGTGCGGAAAACAGCGCCTACTCCTAGTTCAAGTATACAGTCCGTTGGACAGGACAGAATGGTACCATCGGACACTTTACGTCTTCTGCTGTATTAGCCCAAATTGCTGGAACAAGCAGGAAAGGCAAGTTCTTCCAACCTCCTACGAGAAGGTTTACGTTTTCGTCTGTCGAAGTGGCTCGCGCTAATCGTCGAACAAAGCACTAAAAGGAGCCGGAAAAATAGGCGCCTGCACACAGAAAGCTCAAAATTTCATCGAGTGTGCATTGAGGTATTGGACTTTACCTGGTAAAATTTTAAAACGTAGCTCCCTTCACGTAAAAAAGAAAAGGAACAAATTTGTTAGGGCGTGGACGTGTTTACGGACAACGGAGTTGTAGTTGTCAATGGCTAATGAGCCTAGGCAATTGTGGCAGCCGAGTGCAGCTGTAGCCTCCACCGTGGTAAGGAGAAACTAGCGCCACAAGTCGCAAGTGGCAGAAAGTAGGGCGTGAGACTGAAAAAAGTAAATCAGTCAGTCAATCAAATGGGCCAAAACTTTTTTAAAACAGGGCGGGCATTTGTAGGAGGAGTGCCTCTGGTATCGTGAATAAAATAAAATCAAATCAAATATTGGGAGACCGCCAGATGGCGCCACCAATGTCGTTGGCGTGCGCAGGCGCGGCAGGCGCCCTCCAGCCCTCCTCCTCTCCCTCTCTCTGCTCTCTCCTCTTTCCCTCCCGCTCCTTTTTTTATTATTATTATTTTTTTTTTTTTCGGTTTGTTTTCCTCGTCTGCTTGATCGGTGTCGCGCTGACCGCTGCGAGCGGCCAGCGCGGCACCGGTCGAGCAGACGAGCCGCGCGCGCTACACTTCGCAACAAATGCGCTCCGCGAGATATTAATTACCAGTGCAATAAAACAAAAACAGCACGTTCATTGAAATGTATATTTTATTGAACACCATTCAAATTAGTTGCAGTATTCCAAGCACGTATTTACAAACTCCGTCGGCAGTCCACCGCCCCTTGAGCGGAACCAAGAACTGTAGTAGGCAGTAAACGTTATCAAATATGTAAAAACCAAATTAACTACTTTAATGTACAAACTAACAGAACAGCACTTATAATCGAATTATCTAAATGCGTCTATAAACAACTCCTACAAACAAAAATGCTGAATACCCAAACAAACTAATCAACTGCGATATAAAGCAGGCTTGCATTTTAATTTAATGAACGCAGGGTTGCAGGCGAGCTCCATAAGAATAAACGATAAATAAACCATAAACAAACTCGCTAATTGGCAACGCAAAGAAGAAAAAAAAATCTTCTGGAGTGACTGATTGTGGGCGCTTTTGGGTACTCTATCCTAGAAGCTGTCAAATTAACTAAAGACTCTGACAGCAACTCACTTGGAGGAACCAGTCCTTGCAGCAACGGATTCGTAACAAAAACGGTGAGGCACGTGTTTTTCCGCAAACGAATCTTCCTACATTTTGCAAACGCGGTTGCACCGGCGTGCTTGCTGCACAGACGACACGGACGCAGCTTGCTCACCGGCAGGCTTCCAAAGTCCTGGCGCTTTGCATACGCAATCCATTTCGATGCTGTAATGGAAAGATTGAGAGATCATATATTTCAATGCTTCCAGTTTCGAACGTTGACAAAAAAGTTTGATATAAAGGCTCACCCGCCGTTTGTTGGAAACCGGAAGAATAAGCACTCCGAGTTCTTTTGAAGAACTGTTACACCACTTGGCCGCGCAGTAGACTCCGTAATACGCCGTCATGAGGCACGCAACCCACTCGGCAGAATCTCTGTCAAACTAGAGACGTCTCTAATCCCTCTAATCATTTTCTGAGCGCAGACGCGCAGCCCCGTACTCCGTAAAATCTACACTTTCGATTTCAACACGCGCGGAACGGTTTGAAAGCTTGGAGTGACGAGCTCAAACAAAAAGAGAAGACAAAAACGGTCGTTTGCCCTCACACTGAAGGTTGGTGATTGGTCGGAAGAGCCCAGAGTGCTTCGGTTTTGGTAGCGAAGATCCTATTCACGACGCCAGCGCTCAAAAGTACAGCGGCGAAACAGTCTGGCGTGAGACTGTTGGCTAGACCAACGAATCTGCTCTTTGGGTGGACGTACGAGAGAGAAGCCAGCGACGCGGCGCCCCAATCGGCCCAACCGGGAACTCCGTTAGCTGCATTCGGCTGATTGTGGCGCCATCTCCTCAAGGGCGAAGCGAGAAAGTTTGGTGTCTTCGTTCACAAAAAAAGGGGCTATGTTTTGAAATTTCACCAGGTAAACCGCACTACCTGAATGCAGATTTTGTGAAAGTTTCAACTTTCTATCCGCCGATTTTCCCGACTCGCTTTACACCTCTAGGATTTGTGATGGACACCCTGTATTTCTACTCGACTCTCTTCATTGCAGCTACAAGGTGATCAGAAGCCAAGAGACCTGCGATGGATCCGAAGTCACAAACCTTGCGCAGGCGAAGCAAGCGGTGTCTTCCGATTGGCTCGATTCCCAGGACGACTGGGGTTCGGGTCCCGGCTCCACAAGTGCGGATCCCCAAGCCGAAGAAGGCAATGACCTAACAAAATCTCTACAAGGTCTCGTCGTATCTGCGGCCGACGACAACCTTCGTGACGACGACATGGATTTTGCTGAAGTTCAGCCCGAGACGATTGAGGGGGTTGATGCTGTCAAGCGCGCTTGCGAGTTGAAGCGTGTCGAGCAAGAGCAGCGTGCCGCTTTGGAAAGCTTGTCGGCAGGCAGCAGTTTTAGGAGTTACTACGTTGGCGTCATTGAGGAGGATCGAGATGCCGAGAAAGACCTTGCAGCCGACAGCCACATCGAGAAACTGTTGCAGAACTATGAGCTGGAGGACGGCGGTGCATCAAAACAAATTAGGTGATTGAGACCGTATCCACGTGAATTGTTGAGGAATAGTTTCGCAAAGAAATGCCAATGTATTTCACTAATTTGTCAGTTTCAGCAACTCCCTTAAGCAGCCACTCATACTTTTTTTTTGTTAAGTGTTAGTTAAATGTATTTACAGATCTATCGTAAAATAGCGGGCAAGCGCCCACCCGAAAGTTGTAGACAATCGCTAAAAAATGGGGGATGGGCACTTGTCCGGTCACCAATTTTATATGCAAGTTTACCATGCACGTTTTCTCGAGTCTTAAAAATTTGGGAATGGGCGCTTAGTATGGAGAAAGTTGTAAGCATCCAAGCATTGCTTTCATAACATTGCTGCATTTAACTTCTGCAGTGACTGCAACTTTTTGTCCATTATCTGTGCAGTAAGGGTCAAGGAAGCTCAAGCTACGCCCAAGAAACTTACGAAAAAGCAAGCATCAGTCACGGCGACCAGACATTTTACAAGTTTCACAAGAGATTGCAGCGTTGTCCCGAACAACTGATCAGGTAAGTGCAAGATCTACTATACTTTGTTGCAGGTTAAGGATAGCAGGACAAACTCCTCCCAAAAAGCTCTCCACTCTTTCTAGTTTAGCCAAACAAACGCTGTAGAAGAGGAAACGACCAATCGTGGCAAGCAGAGAGTTTTACGTGAGGGGCTTGTCCAGCCATTCTTAAACTGCAACAGACTATACTGGCATAACTTGCGGGTCACTTCATTTTCCCGTGGATGTAACGGGGGCCAATTTGTTTTCACCAAGGTTCTGTTGGGACGGAAAGCCGCTGTTTATCAGTCAGCCACCGGCATCCTGGGTCGTCCCAACATGTGCAAACTGTGGAGCGCGCCGTTGCTTCGAACTGCAGGTCATGCCGGCACTTATCCCGACCCTGGAGATCGAAGGAGCCCATTTCAAAGGTTTGTGTGCAGAATTGAGCTGCCATCTAGACAAAAAGATTGCAATGCCAGGTTCCTTTGTAGTCTCTGGTTTGGGGGCAAAAGCCGGCAGTTTTCACACCACACACCAAAGGGACACGGCGCTGGGCATCTTTGAAATGCCCACAATTGAGTCTCTTTCCAACACAATAACATCCCTTTCCATTCCAGGGTGCCCATTGGAGTTTGGCACGATCGTCATCTACTCCTGCAGTGCAAGCTGTTGGAGCGCTCCAAGCACATGGTTAGAAGAAGTCGCATTCATTCAACCGGACCCAGACGTCGCATTTTGGAACAGAGTGGTATCCTGAAAGCGTGGAGCGTGTTCTTCTAGTAAACATTTATTTGTCAATAAATACATGTATGTACAGTTCTCTGCTCAAAACCTGTTCAAAGCCACGTTGGGCTTTTTTTCGTTCAAATATTCACACTAAGAGTTCTTCGGCGATTTGGGAGGCATGAAACTTTGGCTGCAAGAATAAGCCAGAAAAAGAACAGGTGATGTGGCTTAGGACATGGTTAAGCTAAATGTTCCGACAACTGTTTTTTGCCGGGAGAGTAAAAAAAATTGAGAAAAAGGGAGACCAGCAACACAGGCTTCAATCAACAGAGTGCTCCCAAAACCTTTGTTGCAGGTCTCGCCGTTTTCATAGCTTTGGAATGTCGGCCAAGAAAGAAAAAAGAAACATGGTTGCGTCATATGTACAAGTCTTGCGGGTCGAGAATATTGCGTCATTCCCATCAAAACCATTCGGACATTTTCAAAACTCTAAAAAACTAAGCGTGACGCCACAGTAAAAAATATATATATAATATAATGTTTATGTGTTCTGTTCCCTTTTCAAGTTCTAAGACGCAACGCGATCCGTTATATAACACTCGGCAAAAGAGCTCACTTTGCCGCGGAATAACAAATGCACCGTAAAACTCCGCCACAGTGCTAAAGATTCTGAGCGAGTCCCGACGCGCCGGTGTCGAGGATCCTGCGAATCCGAACAGTGACTACGAGCGGTTCGAGAAGTGCAAAAATGACGGTAGGTTCCGGTCCAAAAATTTAGACCAAAACAAGACGAAGCAAGTCGCGACGCACTGCCGTTGGAAGATTCGCAAATTTAAAAGAAAGTAAATATGAGGGGCTTGTAAAGTGTAAAAACGACGTCGGATTCTTCACCTAAAATTTTAAACCGAAATAAATTTTAAAAGAGGGACGGGTTAATGAAGACGCAGGCCGAGACCCGTCTTTTCTAGGAACAGCTTTCCAGGCCTTCTAAGATGTCGGTCGACTCGTAGATCGGACCGGACGTGCCAGCCGCGGCCGCTCCGTCAGGGTCGGCCGCTTCGTCAGGGTTGGCCGTAGCAAGACCGTGCGACTGGACCCTCGTGTGGCTCGAACGGCTGGCCGAGCTGCCGCAGCTCGGGGTACGAGCGGCCGCCGCCCCCTTGCCAATGTCATACAGGCTGCAGCTGAAGTAGATAGAGCCGTCTTGCTGGAAGTACTTGGATGGACAGATCTCCTCCGGGGCTGTGGGAGTGTCACAAAAGTGTTTAGCTTTGTCTCGCCTCGTATTCAATCCTGCATCCCACAACTAAGCCCACGTGTGGTATTCTGCAATCAACCCTCTATCACGATGTGAACTCAAAATCTTGTATGCGTGCCTATATGCAATCCCGTGTCTAAATGCTGAAGGCCTTTTTTTTTTTGTCCTTTGTAATGGCATTGTTTTTCAGTTTGATCACAGGATGAGGAAATGTAACTGTAGTTACTTATTTCCATTACTGATAATCTTAGTGCTCGAAGTCCTGTCTAGACAAACTAGACTCACAAATAAAGATGCATTATTAAAACTGAATTTTTTGCATTAATATAAGGGGCAGTTTAGCCGTCTGTCTGTCCTGTCTTTCACTTTTTAAAAGTAGTAAACTGGATCGATCAACAGCTGTCCAGCCAGCCGCCGGAGAAAATGTACTTATTTCGATTGCCGTCTGAGGCACTTTGCAGCCGCTGACAACGCGGAAACGAGCAAACAAACACCTGCACTCACTGGCATGAACCACGTCTTCGAAGCGGTAGCTTTCCGGGCACACGGGCTGCGTGGTCCACGGGTGGCGCTCCGCTTCCGGCAGGGTGCAACGCTTCTGGGGGTCACGGTGCAGCAGCCACGAGACCAGACCCCACAGCTCTGCGCAAAGGTGGCGTTCGTTGTGGCTTAGGCCCTGATTACCGCGCAAGCAGCAGCTTGGGTACCTTTTTACTGGGGTCTCTTCGGATAAAGCCTGACATATCCCGACAGCATTTGCATCCCGAACGAGTTTCTTGAAAATCGGGTTAAACCCAATTTTTTCCCGAATTTGGGAACATCATTCCCCAAATTGCTCTGCTCCAAAGATGTTTTCTGGGGAACGATGAAGAGTTTGTAGGAACGTGCGCGCTGGCTCCAGGCCTCAGAAATTAACCTAGATTCTGTTGGCTTCTGTGAACTGCAGTGACTTATAGAGCAAGCCCCCCCATGTCGCCTTTACATTCATTGTCAATTATCCTTCGCCCTTTTCTTTCCATTTGAATCCGTGCAAAAAAGGAAGAAAAAAAGTATAACAAAAAAAAGGGTGACAAATTGGTACTCTAAAAATTTTTGTTTTTGCAGAAACAGCAGATAATTTGTTTCTGTTAAGCTGAAGTGATATTGCTGTGCATTGCAAATACTATATGTAAGCAGTGATGTCGAGAGGTATGCGGTATGCCCCTCTTATAACGATACCACATATAACTATGTACCACTTATAACGATCAGTTTCTAGAGTTCCTGGACTGGGAATGATCAGTTTTTAGTCCAGATACAACGATAATCGGTCATAACGATTGAAATTTCAGGTTTTCTTATCGCTATAAGTAGGTTGCACTGTATGTCCAAAGACCAGCAAAGTCCAGGATGGAGACTGAGATGCTTCAAAGGCCATGTAGGCAATGGCTGGATTTACAAAAAATTCAAGAAACCTGCGAAGCTCTTGCACCACGCTCCAATTCTATATTGTTTACCTTAATTTTAAGAAAGTATGTAGAAACCAGTCAATGCTCTTCATTCTTAATTATACTTCTATATAGGGTCGTGCGAATATTCGAAATTTCGAATAGTAGTTCCGAATAATACACTATTCGATATTCGCTTCGAGAAGAACTGCACTATTCGCGTTTTTCAAAGTGTTGTTTGCGGCGGGTTAGCCCCGTTGAGTGCGCTTCTCACCAAGCACCGGTGCGCTGTGGAGAAGCGATACCCGCGGAAGCGAGCTCCGCGGGTGTTGCTTCTCCGCAGCGCACCGGTGCTTAGTAAGAAGCACACTCAATGGGGTAACCCGCCGCGATAAACACTTGGAAAAGTATGAATATTGTAATTGCATGCTTGGAGGTAAAGCATACATTCAAAGCGGCATGGTGCATTTGTGCCGACTCTGTTCGAAAATAAATGAAAAGTTTGTGAATGTGTGTCTACATTGTGATAAAAGATTCAAAATTAAACTGTTATGCAAGAGTATAACACCAGACCTTCTGACACCAGACCTCCTGAGGTCACAGTTCGTAAATATAGATAGATTAAACTTAGTTTATAAATTAACAAGTGGAACAACCTTCACAAGTTTAGCTGGGTTTTTGTCTAAGTGTTATGCAATAATTGTGATAGGCGTGGAAAAACTTTTCGATATTCGAATCGAAAATATTCGGGAAAAACCACTATTCGCTTCGAATTCGCTTCGAACTCAAAATCCACTATTCGCACAAGGCTACTTCTATATTTCTAAACGTAACCTGGAAAACCCAAATTCTCAAAACGCTTATAAAAAAATAAAACTAAAAAACCTTCATTCCTTTCTAATAACCGGCTTGAAACAAAGCACCTACAAAAATCTACCTCATTGAGACTCCCTAAAAATTGCGGCTTCTTTCTCTGCCTTAAGACAACCCTGTCGAAACGATGCGGAGGCAAGCGCAAACCTTCGGAGGTCTCGTATGGGGGCCTCAGACAGGCTGAGATGGTCTCCTCGACGTCCAGGAAGGGGTTCTCCCCGAAGATGAGGGTGTACAGCGTCACCCCCAAGGCCCACATCTCCAGCTCGGGCCCAGCGTAGGGGTTGCCCTGCAGAACCTGGGGGGGGGGGGAGGCAGGCACAACATCCATTTCACACACTGTCCAAGAAAAATCAGTGGCCAAGTTTGCTAACGCCCTGCAACTCGGAGCATGTGGACCAAAAGCTCGCGCAGAGGGACCCAAGAATCCTGGGCTAGACGCTTGCCGCCGCCGGTTTCGATCTGGACAAGCATTGTGCGGTCATGCATCGCTACTGCCCGACACTCATTAAAGACTGTACTGCGCTGGCTGCACTTTTATGGTGAAAACTTTAGACGCACGGTGAGGCTGACTAACTTCAGGCTGCCCAAACATACGCACGGCACAATTACAATCACTTTAGACCACCAGTCTCAAAATTATTCGAGTTTAAGGGCCAAATAACCCACCCCCGAAAAATCAAGGGCCACCGAGGGGGAGAAAGCAACACTGCTTTTTCTTGGAAAAAGAAAAAAGCAGCAGCAGTGGTGTTTTGTAAAGCAGCCGATCTTCCCAGCGGCACCCTGGTGATTTTCTAGAGCCTTGTGCTTTCTGCTTTTTGTAAGCTTACCACTTTACCATCTTTAGCTTTTACTTGCAAATATGACTACTTGGACCCACCCTGATACGAGATTTAAAACACCGACATACTGGCAGTTTGCAATAAAACGAGAGCAAGCAATATCTCTACATACGTCCCTGCCCTGTCGCACAACGCTTCTCATACGCTGACTTTTTTTCAGGTTTGTAATCGAAAACACTGAAATGCCCGTCCTTCTTTAATGATATAGAACAGCACGACTTCACTCTGACAACAAAATACACCACCCCAAAGGTTGTATTTTCGTGGCTGTCTAGATCCATGCAAGTTGTAGTCATAAACAAGGAAAAAACTGCCGCAATAAAAAAAAATAAAAAAATTTCCCATACGTGCACACATTTTTTTTTCTTCCCTTATTTTTTTTGCATTTCATATATGATGTAATCAATTATAAAATTTAGAAGCTTTGTAAGCGATATTTCGGTAATATTTAATAATGGTATTCGTAAAACATATTTTTTAACGCAATTGTGAGTGCACTACGGCCCTCCTTTTTGAAATACCGAAAATTGTAATCCGGAGTGATGTCGCCTCCTCGCTTTTCATTCTCCCTCTGAAAACATGGCGGCGCCGCAGCGTTCGGCACATGTAGCACTGAGGATGATTGGTGAGTCGGCGAATCGGATGATGTTCTCTTTTTTAGGCACCCAACGACCTCTCAGACTTCAAAAAGGAAATCGTCAAAACAACTGGGTTTGGTGTCAGTGCGCCATAGTTTCGGTTGTCACTCCACTGGGGCAGCCTTTCACGTAAAACCGGCGCAACGTGGCCCCTCTGCATCGCACACGAAAGTCCACTGTGCATTCTTTTCAACCCCGCACCATTTAAAAGAACTTGAAATTGCTGAAAGAGCCCTAAAAGAACTTCAAACTCGGAAGTGAAGTGTCGTTTGCTCACAGTGATAGGCAGCACGCACGAAGCGGAGCAGCTGATCGCGGGGAGTGGGCATGCATGACACTTCGGGTCCGGACGGTTTGGAGACAAGAAAAGTCGAGTTGCAGAAGGACTCAATCTTGGACATCACTGCACTGGCGCGGATCGCGCGGGAACTTCAAATTCGGCTTTTGGAAATTGTTTTTTGACTTCACAAATACCGAATTGTTTTCAATCATTTCGGAAAATTTATATAAATATAATTTTGACCTGTCAGTGCCTTCAAGTTGCAAGCTCCTATATTCGTTTTCAAGAGATGATTTTTTAAAAAAAAATGGGTCTGGCATCATTGGGAAATAATTGTCACGTCAAGAGAAACACACGGAGGGTAATATCACTTCAAGAGATCAACATAGGTACGCCATGTTGAGAGTTCCCTGTCTACCCGACCGGTGGCACCAGTGTGCCGCGTCAAGAAATTACGAGAGACCGCGACACGCGGTCAAACTCTCAAATGTGCGAACCGGCCTCGAGACGAGCGTTTCAAGATTGAGTAAAGCCCTTCCAGGAGGATCGTCGCCTCTGGCTCACCTCCGGCTGCAGTATTCGACGGTGCCGCAGAAGGTGGTGAAGTACCGGTCGGGGCCCATGAAGGCAGCCGAGCCGAAGTCGATGAGCTTGACGTGGAAGCACTCGTCCAGGATGATGTTCTCGTCCTTCACGTCCCGGTGGAGCACCCGCAGGCCGTGCAGGTAGGACAGGGCACTGACCACCTGCCGGGGAAAGGTGCGGTCAGCGCGACGTTTTGAGACCTTGAAATACTTTAGAAATGTTCAAAGTTGCCGAACAGCCCTATTCGATTCGCACTAAAAACCTAAAAAAATTATATCGGTACAAGTAAAATAAACTGAAAATAAATAATTTTACTGAAATAAAATGTCAGGAAAACATTTGATGGCACAGGTGGAAGTGGGAAGGCCATGGAAGGACACAAATGAGAGAAATAACTTTGCCTCAAAACGCTTTTCAGTAGGGGTGTCCGAATACCGAATAGTAGTTTTCGAATCGAATACCGAATCGAATCAAGAAAAAAAAGCCCGAATATCGAATCGAATATCGAATAGTGATTTTATCCGTAGGAATTTTTCAAAGTGTGCTCCGAATGCGATTATTATATGTGCAGAGTATGCGCCTGGTGCGGAATATGTACAAAACAAAAGCAAACATGTAAAAAAATTCCGGTGAAAAAAAAAAAAAAAGCAGTTGCTGTTGAACATTGGGCACTAAAGATCCAATTTTATGGTACAAACATAATCTATCTACACTAAACGTCACAAAAAAAAAAGTTAGAGTTACGCGTGCCTTTTTTTCTCTTTAAAAACACAACCTAACACCGCAACGTTTTTTTAAAATATTTGTATATCTCAGAAAAGGGCCATTTTGCGATAGTTGGTCTCCATTTTAAGGAAAAAAAATGGCACCTGGGATTTGATTTCACATAAATAGACAGGTGTTAAATCTGAGTAAACAGCAACGAGGTAAACTGGCTTAAACAATATAATCTAAAGTAAAAAAAAAAAAAAAAAAACGTGGTTAGGTGGCGCAAGTCACCGTCCAACTGCCGCTACGCATCCATTTTTTCGTTTATCTATCCTGTTTTAGCGAGCCTTCATTTAAAAGAGGGAGCAACCGAAACTGAAACCACAGAGACGGCTCTATCGCAGATTGATCGTGAATGCGCATGTGTTGTGTTGTCGCGTGGAAAGAAGGCGAACAAACAGAAGAGCGACGACGCCTGCCCTGTTCTGCCCGAACCCAACCGACGCTTTCGTCTTTTCGGCACCTTCTCGCAGTTCGTAATTCAAACGCGGCTATCGAGCTGTTGGAAACCCTCTCAAATCTAGGCACACTATTTTTTCGTTCCGTTTCTTCCGCGCCAAGCGAGTAAGGCTGTGTAAAGCCCCTCGTTTCAAATTGAAGCGCCGATGTAAAACACACTTGCCGCACTCACAGAAATCGGCTACTGCACCACTGCACGATCACAGAAAGAAAACCAACGTTACCACGTCGGCGAAACCAACCGAGTTGTCGTTCTGATTCGGAATCCGAATCAGAATTTGCGGTTCCAAAAGAACGACGACGATAACTCGGTTGGTTTCACCGGCGTGGTAACATTGATTTTCTTTCTGTGATCGTGCAGTGGTGCAGTCGCCGATTTCTGCGAGTGCGGCAAGTGTGTTTTACATCGGCGCTTCAATTTGAAACGAAAAGTTTTACTCGTGAAAAGAATTAGGCTTGGCGCGGAATTAAGCGGCGCAAGCGGGATGTTTCAGTTGTGATTCAACGGTAGATAGTGTCATGATCCTGAGTAAATCTTCGTGCTATAAAGTTTGTGGCGTTCGTTACTTTTCTGTTTTCTAACCTGCGCGTTAGATTTTTGTGGAATGGTAGGTCCAAGAGGTGTTTCTCGCATGGTCTGTCTAACATCACGGCGCTTACATCGGGAGAAAAAACTGCTTTTTTGTTTGCTCCGCGCCCACCGCGCGCCTTTGGCCGAATATATTGAATATTCGAGTAACCGAATACTAGGAATTTGATTCGCGAATCGAATTATTCGGGAATTTTCTATTCGATTCAAATTCGTATATTCGAGTATTCGCACACCCCTACTTTTCAGAACACAGTGTCTTTAAAAACAGGCCGTGCTCTGTTGCCACAAGGGCAGAACTGGTCATAAAATTAAAGGCAGGACACAAATAACAACTTGACCTTGAAAAAAATTTAACCATGTGTGTTGAAGCATTTAAGCAAGTTTATCGGATCATATCCGATAAACTTGCGAGACACACAACACGTGTTGCAAACGAGCTGGTCACGTGCCGTTCGCGTGTGTGCAACATCACGAGGTTACACAATTGTGACACCATGGAGCCACATGATACTACGTCACGTAATGTAACGGTGTCACGCCGACGACAATGTGTGAGCACAGTGTGCTACATTGAGCGGGACGTCACGCTTTCCCCACACACGTTTTCCGTCAAAAACCGAAAGGACTGGCCTGGCGGAAGACATAGGAGGCCAAGGGCTCGTCGAGGCAGGGGGACCTGTCGATGAACTCGAAGAGGTCCATGCCGGCGCCGTGCTTCTCCATGACCATCTGGAAGTGTCCGGCGTTTTCGAAGACGTCCAGCACCCTGACAATGTTGGGGTGGTGCAGGGTGGTGAGCAGGCTCACTTCCAGGGGCACAACCCGGCCAATCAGACTGTCCGTCACCCAGCTCTCTTCGTACACCTTGCTCTTGCGGATGAACTTGGTGATCACCTGCGAGGGGTAAATGCACCTCGGCTTGTACCTTGTCCGTTACCACATGAGCCTTCTGCCGCAGTGTTTCTCATCTTTGAGTACAGTAGGCTCTCGTTAATTCAAACCCCAGGGAGCCACAAATTTTGTTTGAATTATCGGAAGTTTTAATTGTACGCAAGTGTGCCTCCCTGCAGCACACTAGTGCTCGGAAAGAGCGCGCTCAACGAGGCTGCGAGAACAAAAAGCATGAATTACACGAAAACCATGTTTGAATTAAGGGGCTTACAGTGATGTGATTGGCTTTAGCCGTTTTGGAGCACGTTCTGGAGCAGCCAAAACAGAGTTTTGGAGCAGCAAAACTGGATTTTGGAGCAGCTAAAACAGTGGTTCGGAGCAGCGAAAGTGGCTTTTGGAGCAGATATTCTTAGAAGAAGAAAAAAAAAAGATATTCATTTCAAGTGGTGGACAAACGAAGGACACATTGCTCGCCGCAATCAACCAATTATTGTCAAGATGGACCTCCTGGGAGTCTTTTAACATGTAACTGAAATGCCAATGACATGACACATTTTGCAATGCTTCAGTTAAATAATACAATTACATCGGACCAAACGGCACATATTAAAATTTATTTGAAAATGACCAGCTTAGTAGAAAATATCACATCATTAGGCTGACTAGTAATATAATAAATGGAAGCAGTCTCCAACTGATGAAACACGTAACTAATGCCGTGCAATGCGAAATTGTCGCGCGAGCGGAGATGGCTGTTCGATCGAAACTATGCCACTCCGCTCCGTTTCCAACTAATTCCCAAAATTGTATGCAAAATGTAACTGTCCAAAATACGACAGAAACAATAACAAAAAAAAACAGTCCAGCCGAACGGGCCTATTAGGCTGCCAGGCGAGATACAAGGTAAACACACACAAAAAAAAAAAAAAAAAAAAAAAAACTGAGCGCATCATTGCAAGACATTGCGAGCCAAGGTCAAAACATTCTTGGAGCACTTTGTGCAACGACTGAATTGGAGACAAATAAGCGCGCTGTGCGGGTTCAGCATGCGGACATTGCCTTCTTTGCTTTAGTTCACTTCTCTTCACTAACTTTCTTTCGCTGCTGATTTGTTTCACGTACCAGGGTAGGTCTCTAAAGAAACACCGAGAGAAACCCAGGTAATCAATACTTCGACACAACAGTCTTTGAGCTAAAGGGATGTTTGGAGTAGCGTATTAAACAAGAACAAGATTATTGATGAACATGCGGCAGTGCTTACGTTTCAGTTTAGAAAGTGCCATAACTGCAGTAACGTGGGGACGGCAACATCCGACGTCACGTGACCATGGTGACTGGCAGACAGGGACCAAATATAGTTTGTTCACGGCCGTTGCTTTTAGGAGCGAGTGCTTCAGCCCATAAAGTAACCCCCGCCGCGCAAAAACATGGTTTCGTTTCACAGCATGATGGCATGGTTATGCTGTGAAATCAGCATGAGCGTCCGCACACGCCCACGTCCATCATTGAATTTTTTTTTTCAAAAAGATGCGAGACCAGAGACGGCAGGAAAAACCATGCAAGACCGGATGAACGATTGATGCACGGCACTTTGTGTCGGACGGCTGCTTGCACCACCTAGCTCATGTGTGCTCAATTACGGTACTCAGTTTAGCTTCGGTTTTCAAAGGCGACCAAAATTGATCCTTTGGCGCAGGCTTGGTGCAGATTACCCATATTTTGGCAAAATGTAGCAGGATGTAGCAGGGTTAGCCCCTTGGCGCAGTTTGGCGCAATTGGCGCAGCAATCACATCACTGGGCTTATGAATACATTAGAAGCATAGCAGAACAACCAAAATTTTGGAATTTGTTTGAATTAACCAGAAGTATGAAATATCAGAGTTTAAATTATCGCGAGCCTACTGCGTAAGGAACATTAAAAGTAATACTGAAATTTTCCCAGTTCTTTCATGTTTCTTAAGCTAGCATTTTTGTTACAACTGGATCTCCAAGAGTTGGGCTCCGACGTCGTTTAGTCATGAACCAATTGCAATGTCAGTAGGTTTTAGATTGACAACAATGGCCGCTGCAGGGCTGGTGCTCCTCACCAGAAGGCGGTCGGTCTTGCGGTACGCCATCTTGACGCAGCCGTAGGCACCCTTGCCGATCTGTTGCAGGGTGGTGTAGTGGTCCGAATAGATGCCTCCAGTGTACTCGGACTCTGTACTCTCTGCAGACTCGTTGGGTGCGGCATTGTGATCGGGGTCCTCCTTGAAAGCGAGCGGGGAAAACACAAAAATCAAATTGTCCTCCTGTTCAGGCCACGGCTGCGGCCTGACCAGGATTTTCACAGATTGAATTGTAAGAGAAATTAGTCGTTTTTACCTGGAACACACCGACATTGTTTGGGAAAACAATCGTTAGGAAACTAATGAAATACTTCACATTTTTCTTCACTAGGTACGCAGCAGAATGATCGGAGAGTGCAACAATACAAACGAAATTTCCCAAAAGTAATTTATTTGATGCTAACATCGCGCTGAAAAATCAAACAAATATTTTGCCTTTTATGTTGTCGACAAAATGTTACCATCTTTTGTAAAAGACAACGACAAACTAAAATAGATAATGCCACAGTTGCATCGCCCGTTAAAATACAGTTGGAAAAAACAATATAAATGAGCCTTTCCTTTCGTCCCGTTACCGAACAATAGTTCCCTGAAGTAAAATTTCTGCCAAAATGTGGAACAAAGACAAATGTGTTCGAACGAGCCTGTACCTTTTCTTTAGCATCAACGAACATAAAAATAATTTATAAAAAAAAAATATATATATATATACATGCAGTGTAAAAAAATGAAAATTTCTGGGTACACTCTATAGATATTGGTGGACGTATACACCAACTCAACTCTCCTACGTCACGCCGCGGTGGTGGCGCGCCGGACGCGCTTCCGGTCTGGGGCGGTGGGCAGAAGTCGCCGTGCCAGACATGCATTCCTGTGTTCCTTTGGAACAAACGAGACAAAAAAACCTGCCTTCTCGTCAAAATGCTGCGATGGGGGCTTTGCCAAGAGAGTCTGGCAAGGTTTGAAGATCAGTTTTCATGTGTTTTTGCACCCTCCATTCGTCCGAGAACGTGGATAGCAGCCGTGAAAAGGGCAAACCTGACGCTGTCGAACTACGATTGCGTGTGCGGGCCACAATTTGTAGTTGCCAGATGTATTTGCTTGGTTCCAACATGACCGAGAGAAAAACCCCTAGTTGTCCGGACCACCCACGGATTCAGTGCGTCTTCAAATTCACACGGCCGCCTGATCGTTCGAACTATCGTCTGCTCTTTCAAAGTTGTCTGCTTTTTGTCGTCTGCTCGTTCAAACAAAAGCGGCCCGTAGACCAAACTTTGACCCGGTGATTGCAATGATAAGTAATTGCAGGCCTCAAAAGACTTAAGTAGGCTCGGTGTAAACAGCAGATACAAGATTTTAATTATTGGTACCGGTGCCCATCACCTACTTGTTACGCTTTGTCTGTTCCCGCTTCCGATTTTCAATATCGACGTCGATCATCGCCGCTACCTTTTACACTTTTGCAGCACGAGCGACGTCCCGACCGAAAATAGCTACAAGAATCTCATCATGGTTTTGGCGTCCATTCTGCAGCGTTCATGCGAATGAATCGCCGCACGTCAAATTATTTACGGAAAGTTTAGCGGCGTAACGAGCCTTGATAATTTCGCTCAGGCGATTGAAGTGGTAAGACATTGCGATGAGAACGTAGAATCGACAACTCCAACGCGAAAAAGAGTATGCAGACTCACACAGACGCCGACAACGTGACATTCGAATGGTTTGTTGACGCGGGACGCGGTGCTTCTTGCCCGTACTCCATTGCGCGTGCGTTCGAACTGTCGTCTGCTCTTTCAAACTTGGCCGCTTTTTGTCGTCAGTTTGTTCAAACGACAGCGGCTCGTAAACCAAACGTTGACCCGGTAATTGCGATAAGAACTAAGTGCAGGCCTCAAAACACTTTTAAAGGTTGGTTGGGGTAAGTCGGCTAAGTGTAAACAGATACAAGAAGTTGTTGATCATTGTTACCAGTGGCCATCACCGACTTGTAATGCCCGATTCTACTTGAGGTTTTCAGTATTGATGTCCACCATCTCAGCTACGGTCCACGCTTTTGCAGTCCGAGCGACGTCGCTACTGAAAATGGCGAGCAGAATCTCGACGTGGGAGTCAGGCTTTAGCGCCCATTCTGCGGCGTCCACGTGAAATGAATCGCCGCACGTCACATTATTCACGCAAAGTATTGCCTCGATAGTTTTGCTGAAGCCGCTCAAGTAGTCAGACATTGTTAGGAGGACGCAGCATCAACAATTCCAACGCGAAAAAGAGCACGGGGACTCCCACCGACGCCGACAACAACGCAATTCAATGGTTTGTTTATGGGCGACGGCGGGCTTCTTGCCCACCATCCACGGCGCATGCGCGGCGCCGGTGACGTCCACTAGGGGCGCTCCGGTTTGTTTGTAAACATGAGTTGGTGTATAGAGAGTACCGAAAAAAACACCCGACCCGAGACACCCTCCAGTGAACTGGAAGCTCCAGAAACGGCTATCATCATGAGTGATGCAAGCGGTTCACGTGATTCTCTTGCTGAGCAGCTGCAGAAACAGCTATCATATCATGGCTGACGCAAGCAGTTCACATGATTCTCTTGCTGAAGTTTCATGTGCCGACATTTTCCTCAACGGGACTGAAAGCAGCAACAATCTGGGTGAAGCCGACATGTGCAGAAGCAAGGAAGCAACGTGCACACCAACTAAGCTCACAGCCCAAATTCTTCCCAGCGATATTCGTCCTTATCCAAAAAGCTGCACCACGCAAAACAGGGTAAAGAAAAAGGGAAACTACCCCCAAAAAAAGACCCAAAAAAACTTTCTATTGAACAAGAAACCACTTAAAGGATTAAAAGAAAGAAGCTTCGAGAAATGTGACAACTGTCCAGGGCAGAAGGAACTGCTAAGGAGCATTGTAGGCAAAAAAGGATGATTTGAGAAGTGTCCAGCTCCTCAAGTGATGACTTTACAACTGCCATTCAGCTTGATGAAACTGAAAGTGACGTGTCCTTTGCTGTTGATCACGAGCTCTTGGAAATCGATTGGCTAATGGATGACATCAAACTTGGAAAAGATGACTTTGTCCTTGTGAGGTTTTGTACCAAAAGATCAGTTATCTTTTTCGCCGGTAGAGTTGAAAGTACCGACGACTTTGATATCACAGTGAACTTCATGCGGAGGAAAGACCACAGCTGGAAGTTCCACTTTCTGCTTCAGGTAGATATAAGCACCGTACCAAAGACCAACATTGTGTCAAAGTTGCCAGAACCGCAGACGGAGGAACAAAACGACTGCTATCTAGCTTCATGTTTGATGTCGACTTGTCAGCCTATACTGTTCATTAGCAGTGCCGTAGCAACAGGGGGGGCTGGGGGGCACCAGGCATCCCAGTCCCGTTGGGGGTGCCACTTCTGGCAGCACCCCCCCCCCCCGCTTCCCTTCTGTTGCTTTATTGGGTAATTGCGATCTCGAATTGATGTCCCACTCCTCCTTGCAAGGAGGGTGGAATGGGACAAATTTTGCTTGGTGGAAACCTTTTTAGAGCGCAGCTCTTAGGCGCCCATTTCCGGCTTGAGCGGAGTCGCTGTAACCGCGCAGTGCATTATGGGAAGCGTGACGTCACTGATGATGCCATCAGTGACGATGACGTCGCGTGATGTCACCGTGATGACGTCATCGTCATCGTGACCCCCGTGAGGTCACGAGGGTCACGTGACCTCATGGTTACGCCGACGGCGACGCCGCTCGAAGGGAGGAGTAGCAGGCAGGATGAGGAGGTGAGGAGGAGGAAGGAGGGGTATACGCTCCCCTCAGTACCTTTCCCTCCTCCTCCTCAAGAGCTGCACTCTAATTCGGTGTAACAAGGAGTTGTGAACGGCTTTCACTTTTCTTAAATTTCCTAATAGAGTTAGCACACCATGCTACTCAGCAGTTGTGAAGAGCATTTCACCTTACATTTAGACCCCTTCAAGTTGTTCCCTTGTGTACAATGAAAAATACAAAAAATCATATGAAATTTGTTCCATACCTTCCCACTCTCCCCTCACCCTTTCACTTTTTAATTTTTTATTTTTACAGGTAGCAAGTTTGTTGTTGCACGGGGATGTGGCATGGTGACGAGGAACACTGGACGCATCATAAATAGCGTTGCGGGTTTTTGGTATATATTCGGATAAACCCCGAAGAGTAACCCCCGATCCGGTTTTATCGAAACCGAGGAAAACTGGAAGTCCCAAAAACAAATCTTTCCTCAAACATTAAAAAAAAAAAAAAAAATGGAACTTTGTGGGAAGAAGTTTTTATCTACAGTTTTTTTTTGCGTTAACTCAAAACGCAGCCTGCGTCAAGGTGTCTACTAGGCCTCTTCTTTCTTTAGGAACAACGCCCCGTCTCGTTTCCTTCTTGGTGCCGAGACTCGCTTCGAGTACTATTAGGGTCACGCCGCTGTTAGCTGGAGACCGAGAAATCGTACACTCTCGTCCTGTTTACTTCGACGCAAGTCTCCGACAAATGCCAGTCTTTTGTCCAACACTATAAAATAGACCAAAAAAAATGCCAAATCTGTTGCACGTTACCTAGTTGTTACAGTTTCTGCACAAATGTGAAAGCGACCCATAAAAAATTGCAGGGTCACTTTTTGTCAAGGCTCCCCCAGACTAACGATGAAATTGACGACGAAGCTGTGTCGAACAAAAGGGGCGAGTCTGCACCGAGCAAGAGTGGTTCCAACTCACCGGGTCGGCGTTGTTGTGCGACGATTCGCCGTCCGAGCAGGACGATCCGAGGGTGAGGGACCTGAGTGGGCAGGACGGTGTCGGGTACTGGGGCACGTAACCATCCACCTCCAGGTCACGCGACACCCAGAGACAGTAGATGGAGGATCCTTCCTCCAGCTCCACCCTCCGGATCTGGTACACTATCGCTGGAGGAACGCACGTGCATGGAGAGAAGAGCAGTAGAGGGCTTAGGGATCCGGTGCTGGTTGCAGCACGCTCCAGAAAAACAGAGCATGGTTACCCCAAACTCCTCGATTTGTTTGTATTTGTCCTACAAGTAGCAAGAAATGCGCCGATGCACGAGACGCGTGCACTGTGCGATCCTCGGAAGCGACCGGCGGCGGAGCACTCGTTCGTGACCCGTGTCTTGCGAGAAACGCGAAACGTGAATTTCACTAAAAAACTAGGTTGCCCTACTGAAATGCGGAAGGTGACTGTGTCAAACCAGCAAGTTTGAGTTGCACATTTGGTAGGATTTATGCGTACTATACTTTTCATGTTCTATTGTAACGAGTGTAACGACCGGTGAAGGGCTGATAACATACTTCATATGTAGTATTGATTACCAAGTTGGCACTTTGGGTTTCACTGCAGCAAGATTCAACTGTTCTTTCATGCCTGGCATGTGCCATGTCTGAAATCACCTTCCCAATAAAAATCATGAGCCATTGTACTCTAAAGGTGGATGACCAACGAAGCTGTTTAGCACACGACAAAGACGTGACATAGAATTTTGAACAAAGGTATAAACACATTTATTGTCTTGATCGATGGTCATATCGATCAAGCGCAAGTGGTCACCGACAACGCTTGCAGCGCACAAATCCACTTTGTAGGATCCCGCACATTGCCGATGTTGGTCAAGTTGTGATCGAACCGCAGCCGATCACACACCCTACAACCTGTCCAGAAGGTCCCTGTTGAATTTAGCGTATGCTCCATTAAAGTTGTCCGAGTTAGAAGCATGGTACCTGCGTCTTTGTGATGTGCTCTCCGCCCCGTGACGTTAGTCATCGCGGGGCAGAGAATGCGTCTGGTGCGAGCGGTGCGAGCTTGAAGGCCCCTGCGCACAGTTCCAGTGACTCGCTTTCATTCTTCGACGCAGTGCAGTCCAACGCTCTCAAACGCAACTCTGCGTAGGGGCCTTGAGATCTTGATCACCGTTGGTCTTGTTTTAGAGTTTGATTTGCGAGGACTCTCGCGCAAGCGCACGACGGGGCCGCCATCCCAAGAGAGAGGACGAAAACTAAGCACGCAATGACAAAAAGAGTGCGCTATCCATAGTAACCCTGAGACCTAGGAAAAATAAAAAAACGGACAGTGCAACAAAGTGTCTAAGATATCATTCACCAGCTTGCTTGTGTTTTTTACCTTTCTTCACAGAGTGCGCCACGAGTTTTTGTTGACGCACATGAAAAATCCATGGAACCCTAGCCATAAACAGCTTCGCTGTAAAATAGAATTCCGGAATCTAAGACACACGGAGGGTGGGTGCAGATGTACACACTATGTGGGGTCTTTTAAGATGTTAGATTCCACAGACAAGGCTGTTGTTGTCAACTTATAGTCGGTGACAGGGAAGCTGCTCCCACCTTTCCCCACTTTAGCAGAGCGAATGCTGGAGAGGAGGTCACCTCCTCTCCACAGTTAGCTCTGCTGAAGTCAGAAGAGGTGGGAGGGCTTCCCCAAGTTCCCCTGAACTCTTAAAAAGGCACTGACACCCCCCAAAAATTTTTTTTTTCTTTTTTTGCTAGGCCATTTAATATGGTGTCAGGAGACTACCCTATTAATTATTTTCAACAGATTCGCATTTATTTTTATTAAAGCCAAGAAACGCAACTGTGCTTCTTGCTCGTTTCACAAAAAGAGCGCCACCATATGTCCTAACACGTAATGTTTTACTCCCACCGGGAGTGACACGCAGGCACTCGAGGAAGAGGTTTGACCAGCACCGCTGTCCTATCGGCAAGGAGACGAGCGCCGTGTCGGCATTCGACCGGCAGTCGACCCGTTAACTTTCCTTGCCAACGCCTAACCGGACATGGTAAGGTGCCAGCCACATAACATATTCCGCGTTAATAGCTGCCGCCAGATCGCTCGCCACGACACTACGGTGGTAATAGAACAAGCGTCGTCAGATGCACCTCGAAGACAGTCACGTACAAAAGTGTCATCACGTAATTAAAAATGGCTGCGGCAAACAACACCCTACAATCCGAGAGGCGTACCAATGTGGGAGCCGTCTCGATGACGACCTTGACCCGTATAGGACCCCTCAGCGATGCTCAGCAGTGATTCGGAGCTCCTGAAGGTCTTGAGCTCGGCACGGAGGGCCCGCTCCCCCGACGCTGCGTCCTCGCCCGCCCTGGACGACGGGGAAACGTTGTTGGGGCGCCAGGAGTTGCGGCGTGGCGCCCCGTCCTCCTGCGTGTTCTCCTCCGAGCTGTGCACCGTGCTCGACGTCATCGTCGACGTGGAGTGGAAGCTGTCCGACGTCGAGAGGCGCACCTCGCCTGCGTGGACGACGTGCATCTCGAGTCAGCGTGGAGTCGGGGGCGAACTCCGTGGAGCAAAAATAAAAGCGACTAGACTGTCCCACGGCATTTTCTCTATGTGCGGCGTTGGAGCAGTGGCCGCTGCACCACACGCAACCGCACGCAGGGTGAGCCTGCTGCCGGGCAAAGTTCATCGGTTGTTCCCCGCATATTTGCTCCATAAAGTTCAGCCCTCAGGGACCGAGTAACCGCATATGTCCAACACAAAATGCGTTATTTGGTTGGCTTCTACCAGGTACCAGTAACAAAAGTGTCGCGCAAGTGCAGCATCTGCATTAGGTCGGAACACGTGCCGTCTCTGACCGAGCAGGAGTCTTGACTTAACACCTATACAGTACCGGCGTCCAAGCTCCCGTAAGCAGCGCAGGAGATCCATCAGTACAGCTTTGTCACTTAAGCGCCGAGCGAGAGCACCTGCACGTCCGGTGGCAGGGTGTGCGGGAGGCGAGGAAAAAGGGGCGAAAGGCGAGGCAGGATGAGCACACGCTTCGAAGGAACCGTGGACGTGAAAGATGGCAGGGCCAAAGCTGGGGCGTGCGATCGCAAGACACAAACTTTTGTCGCACTCCCTTCGGAGCGCCAGCTTGGGCGGTGCTTTCTTTCTGAGACACCACACGCGACGACGTTCGTGCCGTTGAAGCATGCGACGCGTACCATGTTCCTCCACGCGACATCACCGTGGAACAACACGCAACACCTCGTGTTGCCACCGCCTTTGCCGCAACATTTTGCGTAAAGGGGAAATATCTTTACACCACGCGACGTAAAAGGCTGCATTGTGGGATGCGATAACCCTGGTAATGAGCCACTGGCAACTTCGCCTCTCAACCGCAGATAAAATCGGCCACTAGAGATAGATAATAAGGTATTAAACAAAAGAATAAATAAAATGAAGACTAGTCACTGATGGGGCGAGAACGACAGGAAGGAGGCGCTAGCTTCATACATTTGACAACGCTTTCGCGTCTCGAACATGGGCGCCCAGCCAAAGCATTGCTGTCGGTACGCCGTTCTCGCTTCCATCGGTGACCGTAGATAGCTCATCTCGCGAGCCACGACTGACCCAAGGGGAGCACGAGGTCGTCTTCGTCCTCCTCCTCTTCGACGAGCCCGCGCAGGAGACGAGCGGAAGAGGTGCACGAGGAGTCCTCTCGGGATGCGTGGTGTGCCCCGCGGTGCTGGGTCTCCGTCTTGAGCGTGGACGAGTCTCCCGAATAGAGGTCGCCCCCGCCCCTCAAGGGACACGAGTCCAGCTGGTCGGCACTCGTCGAAACCTGCACGCAAACGACCCAGTCATAGGTCGATGTGCATCTAGAACGGGAGTCTCCAAACCCCGGCCCGCGGGGTTCGAAGACCCCTGTTGAATCGCCTCTATTGCACACTTGTCATCGCCAGCATCTCCATTCCCATGGTCGGTGACAGATGAAGAAGAAAGTGGAAGCCCCTCCTACCTCTTTCCACTTTAGCAGAGCGAACGCTGGAGAGGAGGCGACCTCCTTTCCGGCCCGACTGTAGTGCCCCGTTGTATGTCTGTGTAATTAAGTTTAAATTGTTTTGTATAACCATTACTGCCATTTTCATTAGTCTTCTGCCATTTGCAAATATGCGAACATTCTTATGTACCTCGATTTATGCCCGGTTAGGTTTTTTAGGGGCAAAGCTCCTTAGGGTCTAGCCTTTTCCGTCCGGTGCCCGTGCTCACATCGATTGCCATCCCATCATCAATCAACATCTAGGAGATGCGGTCATTTTTTTGCTGCAATCATTATGTGATATAACTAGCTAAATATTCTATTATACCATATATATTCAACTGTATTACTCGCAAGTCATGTTATTTTCATGTAGGCTTTCTATTATTACACCCTAGGTTCTAGAGTAATAGAAAATCTATGAGATTATTTTTTTTCTCTAGTTTAAACTTTTGCATTAAATTTTTTTGTCGATTTATTTAATTTTCTTTTCGCATTTATATTTATTTGTTTATTTTCTGGCCTTCGAGGCTGCGAGACACACCTAATTCGGTCCCTCAGCCATAAAGTTTGAAGACCCCTGGTCTAGAAAATCGAAGATCGAGCCTCAAAGACCAGCGTGTTCCAAGTTTTGCTTACCTGCATGTCATCAAGCGAATACTGTGTACAAAATGTAAGCTATGTTTAAAAAAGTGTGCCCACTCTAAACTGCCTTTCCTTTCCCCCATCCCCGTTCCCGTTATAACCCTCACTCCGAAATGCGTGACAAAACAAACTGCAGTTCATGCCTGGCATATCCCTTCACCGCAAACGAATGACGGACTGTCGTGACCCACCTTGAGCCCCACGTTGCCGTTGATGTCCCCGCTCGTCCCCGCTGCCCCCGAAGTTTCCCCGCCCTCCCCGGACGGGCCTACCAGCGGAGCCAGGGGCTCCGCTGCCGACGTGGATCGCTGGAAGGGGGCCGTACTGCTGCGTTGCCTCACCGAGGTCACTGACCCCGTCAGGCTCAGGTCCTGAAGGCCCGACGTCACCGCATCCTCCAGCATGGACGCGTGCCCGCCACCTCTTCCCGTGGAACACCGCGCCGAAAACGACTTTCCCAGCGGGTTAAGTGGCCTGCGTTTGGGAGGTGGCTTGCTCTCAAAGTGCTGACCTTTGCTTGTCTTGCTGTTGATTGTGAGTAGTGTTGACATATGGGCTAGTCGCCTTTCTGTTATTAACAAACAAACGGCATAAAAGCAGTGTTGGGAAGCACCTTAAGTACATTGTCATAACTGCCAAGTTTGGAGAAAAGAAATCTGGGATATTCCCAAAGGGAGAGGGCGAGGGGGGGGGGGGGGGTAGCAGTTTTATAAAAAGAAGTATTGACAATGAATTTACGTAAATACTTCATTTGTACTGCACTGCTCATGCTAGCGAGACACAGCTGGGCATCGCTATCATTGCTGCCGTCTGTTGCGACTGCAAAAAATCCTTGTTTAAGTGCAGGGAGGGAGGGGGGGTCACTTTGCATTTTTCGTACAACTGCATGAAGTGGTCAGAATTTGGGAGTCTCCCGGGTAATACGGGGGACTTGACAGGTATGCATTGTACTTAAATACTATTTCAAGTATGTTTAGAAAGCTTGTACTTCACATAAAGTAGTTTTTCTGGTACTTTCCGAGAAACATACTACAACTCGAGACTTCAAAGTACATTCCCCTAATCTGGTCTCGGTTTTGTTAGATCTTTCAAGGACCACGCAATCACGGCCCTGGCTTCCCCAATACTGTACACAACTTCTGAGGTTGAGTAAAGAGTTCAACAACCTCTAACAAAAGAAATGGTGTATCGCCATGTGAAAACACGCTATAGACTTTCAAGCCGTCGTCTGGTCATTTTTCCGAGTGAAGAATGGCGGCTATAAGGCCATGGTCGCGGAAAAACGGCACGCCGTTCTTATCCCGGACAGATGCAGCGCTCACAATGTGCAGCCGCGATTAAGCGCAGGCAGTCTGAAGTTCCTGCTGGCAAACACCACTGCTAGAAGCCATCCTCTCGATCAGGGCGTCATTGCTACAGTCAACGCGCTCTACAAGAAGCGGATATGCGAAAGTGTTGTCTTGAAATTGCAACGAGAAAAGCCCATCAAGGTGGACCTGAGGGAAGCCATTGACATAATCACCGCGTCGTGGTGACAAGTAACAGCCACAACCATCCAGAAGCATTTTTGCAACACAGGGTTTGTGCGTAATGCCGGGAATTCGGAGGACGCAGGTCGGCGCAGTGATGCGATTCACAAGACAAACGGTGTGGAAGACATGTGGTCCAACCTTGTGGAAAACCACTTTGTTCCTGCAAATTACAAGTTTCAAAACTATGTAGATGAAGATGACAAGGACTCTGTTATCCGTGAGGAAGCAACCACCGATGAAGCTATTGTTGCAGCGGTGCGAGGTTCTGGGTTAGATTGTGAAAACCAGCTGAACTTACAGAAAAGGGTGAGGAGAGAAAGGAGGAAAAAGCATCCGATCGCTGGTGGCTCCTCCTCACCCTTTTCTGTAAGTTCAGCTGGTTTTCACAATCTAAGTATGTACAACCAACTAGCTCAGCTCCTTCCCATTGCGAGAGGTTCTGGGGCGTGTCCACCCAAAGATGAGTCGAACGACGACGAAGAAAGCACGTCGGAAGTTTCAAGTAAAGACGCACTGGAATTCTTGTAGAAACTGAACGTTCACTGTGAGCAGAACTCCTTCAGTGATGAGGTGTTCAAATGCCTTAGCGTTATCAAAGACCAGGTCGTCCACCATGACGTTGAAAGGCAGCGCCAGGCAAAAATCACAACTAGTTTCTTTCAAAATGCACCAGATGCTTGAGAGAGAAGTGTACTTGTCTAATGAAATAAGAACTTTTCTCAGACTGAGCTTTATTTTGAATCTAACATGAAAGAATTTGTTTTACAAAGGTAAGTTGTCTCATGACATGTAATTTGACCAGAAAAATGTATGTTTTGATATGCGTGATTTTCGCAACTCCCATTGACATACGTTATATGCGGCCTACACTGAACTTTACCCAGCCAACACTGCATAAAAGATAGACAAATAAAAGGAGAAAAACATTTTTCTCGGTGCTGTCCTATCCTATATCCCTTGTCTACGTAACAGTGGCACAACCAGCATATCTCGAGCTTGCTATGTACAAGTACTACAAAAGACTCGCTTCAACTTTGCTCCATTACATCCGCATGTTTACTAGAGCAGTCTTTCCTAGGCAGAGGTTCTACTGAAGATATGGCGTCCAGCTGCAAAGCACCTACCTGGGTAGTTCAGAGCACTCAGACTCTGGACGATCGTCCAGAAAAGCGCAGGCCCTCGAGTCTTCTTCGTCGTCGTCTAATGGAGGCAGTGGTACCGAATCCGTGTCCAGGTACTCAAAAATCGTCGTAGAATGATGGAATCACCACCGTAATGTGCTGCAATGCGAAATGTCGGCAAAGGCTGTTATCACTACAGCTGCAATTATCCGTGCCAGTATCCTTTTAACCATAACACCACGAAATCATGAAATGCCCAAGACGGAACTACGAGTGGCCGGCTAGCACAGAACTGACTCTGTCGAAACCCAACGGTCCTTTGGCATGAACTGGTACGTCTCGAGCAGGCGCTTCGCTTCGGCTCACAAGACGCCAAAGTACAAAGAAATGAAGGAAGCTCGTGCTAGAGGCGGGACAACAAACTCCTCCATGCCATTACCATTCCATCAGTGACTATAGCAGTATGCTGGCAACACACGGGGATTCGGTGGCACTGCGCCGGCGCTGCGCCGGTATAGTTTTGCTGGCAAAACTGCAGACGAGCTTTCTCAACAGCCGCTCGCGACGGATTAACCGACTTTTCCTGAAGCTGGGACTGACTGCAGTCATAAAACGTTTTCGGGGTGCATAAATTTCATTATAAAATATTCTAATATTGAGGTTTAGTGCTACACTTGCAATATATTGGGGTTCAACGGCACTGCGCCGGCACAATATGAGCAAAACTGTGGTTAAGCTTTCTCGTTGGCCGACCACGACGAGCCATCCACGTCTGCCTGAAGCTGGGACTGGCCGCAGCCATAAAAACATTTATCAGGATGCATAAATCTCTATATTTAAGAGAGCCTACCATATACGAGGAAGTTTTCTAGTGGTACGCCGGCAATACGTCGGGGTACTGTGGTGCCACGCCGGCAAGACACCAGCAAAACTACGGCCAAGCGTCTCTTCGGCCGATCATGACGGGCCACCCACCTTCCCCTGAAGCTGGGACTGGCTGTATCCGAAGAGCATGAGAGAGAAGTTTGTGTTGCAGGAGTGGATGCATCCGTCTGGCAGCACCGTGATCATGCCGCTGATGTTGGCAAACACCCAGACAACGCCTCGGTAGGCCGTCGGGAAGGGGAAGGCGGCCCCCGCCCCTCCACGCCGTCGGAGAGCGGCTCCAGCAGGATGCTCAGCGGGAAACTGCCGCCGTCCCGCGTGCGCCCCGTGGCCTGCTGCTTGCGCACCGTCTGCATCGATCGCCGCCATGGGATACGGTCGTTGATCCAATTTGCTCGGGGAAAGGCTCGTCGAATCGCGTGGATTTTCACTTCAGTAATGCGTCATGATCTTCGGAGCTAGAACGGTCAGTATGGAAGCATGGCACCTAGTTGCTGAAACAAAGCAACGAGTCTGTCTCGTCTGAAGACATAATAAGATTGAAAACCTTCGCGGGGGGTGCATTCCAAATCTACCGTAGAATACCGCGCATCCGCCCACTCCATACTAAGCGCCCACTCCCAAATTTGTAAGATCTTAGAAAATATGCACAGTACATTGATATGTAAAATTCATGACCGGACAAGCACCCATCCTCCATTTTTTCGAGATTACCTCTAAATTTTGAGTGGGCCGCTTGCCCGGTATTTTACGGTATGCTCATATTTTGACGAAAACAAGTGTGGACTTCAAAAGACTACCGTAATATACCAAGCATGCGCCTGAATCGCAGCAACTGCCCACCCCCCCCCCTCCCCCTCCCCTCGGCCGAGGTCTTAGAATGACTGCAACCATATGCAAAAACAATCCAATAATCGTTTCTTTCTTTTTCTGCAGCAATGTGTGTCTCGCATCTATAAAGAAATGGATTAATGAGGATAGTTTAGGGAAGTGATTGTGATGAGTTTCAGCGGTTTCTTGTGATCGATAAGGTGCCAATACACAAAAAGAAAGATGTAATGGATGCTGCTGAGGTGCTGGACATATATTCTGTACGTCCCTGCAGGCTGTGCTGCCGTCCTTCAGCCAGCCAATCTTTATTGAAATAAATCCCTCAAACATTCATTGAAACGACAGCAGGAAACCTTTACGTGGCGTGACAAAAAAAACAGCAAGAGGAAACCTCCAAAAGCCTTCGCGGTAGGACGTTTTCGATATCTTGTTGAATGCGTGGGCCACAGTAACCGAGGAAGTGATTCGCCAACCCTTCAAAGGCTGCGGCGTCGGCACTGCACTCGACGGCACCAAGGACAGGGAGCTCCACGAACGTCTGGCAGGCGTTGGGTCCCCATCGGTGCCCCATGATCATGCTGCCCTAACCGACGAGCGTGTCGATGTACTCTTCCGTTTAGGCTCGGAAGAGTCATTTGACGGCTTTGGTGACTTTGCTTTGGCTTTGCTGTTTTACACCAAGATAATTTGACTCCATGACCTGTTTACACACTTTTCCCCCGTGGAAGTTTTGTTTTCTCGCGTCGGCGCGCTCATACTGGCTAGGCAAATGATGGCCATTTGCCAAGCGCGCAAAATGGCCGCCATTTTGATTTCAGTAGTTGGACCAAGGGCCCACCCGATCGTGTGCTCTTTCTGTATTTTTGCTCTTGGGCCTAGATTATCTCCAGACTTTCGCACCTGCTCGCTATATTATGGTATGCATAGTTATTTTGATTCCTTGTAGCAGCAAGTTTCCCGTTTTATTTCTTCATTACAAAGGTTGTCTCAACAAAAAGAGCATGCAACGAGATCTGGCCCTTTTACATCATAGTGCAGCGGCATCCCCAATTCTGCAAACCCTAAAGCAGGGCTTCTTTTTTACATATCACTGGTTACGGTTTGAGCCAAGCCTCGACGACAAAGAGGCTATCTATGGGGGGAGGGGGCTAACCTTGAGCACACCGTCTTCGGCAGGGGGCAGCACCAGGGACGGGATGATGTCCGTGATAGGAGTACCCTCCAGGTCTGAACCTTCGGAATAACCACACAGGACGGCTAGGCTCTTGTCCGCAGTCAGGATCTGGCCCTGGGTTATGTACATGGGAGATGGCACGGTTCATTTGCTGCTCGTCTGGACCCCATGAGCCGGTGCTCACAATAAGTTGTCTAGACAACCTCCGTGGCGTAGTTTCAGCTGTTCGAGAAGGCTTTCTGTGACGTATGTCATTAAAGTTCAACTCCGGTCGAAAACGAAACCAAAATAAACGACTGGTATCGCTTTACTGGAACGAAATATGATCACATCCTAAATATTTTACGTCAAAGTGAAGCCGCGTACTCCACTAAAACCGATTTTAAAGATGCGACCAGCTGCTCTTCAGTGGGCAGCAAGCGGGTTAGCTTTTGGTCGAGGAACACTGGCACTGCACCCCCGTGACGTCACGTCACAGAAGAGCTGCGGTTGATTCCGCACATTGTACCGCATACCGCAGCACCACGGCGACATCGCTTCGCGGCCATACGGCTTATAATCAGTGTTGCCATCTCCTAGTAGATAGTTTCGGTTTTGCCATAGACGCCCGAAACCAAACTTTGAGCCGCGAAATTTATAAAATTACACACAACACCGGTCCGAAATGCGCTCCAGGCACCACAGCCGAAAACTGGAATCGGCACCACTCACCCTGGCGGCATCAAAGGTGACCGTAGCTGTGGTCCTCTGAACGGGTTCCATGACCACCAGGCAGCGGGGCTCAGAGTCCGAGTCGAGCTTACGGACCCAGACGGATACCGGCACCACCTCACCGTCACTGTCGATCAGGTCCATCTGGAACGTCCGGCCGATCGAGTGAATTCTGTACGGTGCCGGAAATCCAATTCTGCAACTCCGTGCAGGAGCCAAGCGGGGTGCCGGCTCGGCTACGCATGCGGGAATATCGAGCCCTCCTCCAGACTAATAGACTGATGCTTCAGTTGCACGAAACTATATGTAGTCCTTAACAGAAGGAGAATGGCAGTTTTCATTTGTTGCCTTTGGTGATGCTTTGGCTGTGCGTGTATAATCGACACCCTCGAAACACCAAAGCGTTCTAGAGGGAGGATAATCCGTCATAATCCTACAAGTGACTATAGCGTTAACATCCCCACTACGCGGTAAAATTCAATCGCAGTTTCATCGAACGACATTAGGTGATCAGCGAATCAGTCGATCAGATAATGTCAGTCGACGGAACTGACATTACAATGTACCGTGTGGCAGGCAAATAAGGACGCGACTGCAGTTAGGGCCCGACAACCGGTACAAGAGGCACAGGAAGAGGCTGCACCGAGTTATGAGCACGTTCCAACGAAGAGAGCGAAGAAGAAGCACTGACCACTTTCCCAGCGATGACCACCACCTCTCCGGCCTTGTCGACGTCGGCATCCGCCAGGGCGTACTGCCCCTTCTTCATAACCAGGAAGTCGCAGAGTCGCTTACTGCCCACCTGGGTGCCCATCACCCCCAGCAGGGCACAGGCTGCCTTGTTGGCCGTCAGGATCTGGGGTCGGGAACAGATTGTTCATTGGTCTCCGGAATGACGCAACAAAACCAGCTAAAGCATCGGTGAAGTACTAAGGATTGGAGAAGGTTCAATCTTGAAGGCAATTTCTCAAGTGAAAAATGTCGAGAAACGCAGTGTTTCACTATGTATACATTGAAATGGAATGCCAGAACACAGTTTAAACTGGTAGCCTTTCTTCATTATGCCTGGAGTTCATCGTGTACAAAGCCACATCAAAAGGTAGGCAGAACCCCTTACTTTACACTCATCATAGTTTTCAAGAACAGTGTGCAAAATACTCAGTACCAAAAAAAGGTTCCCTTCTCGAGCTTTCCCCTCCATGTCACGATGCCTGTTGCTGAGCAACTTGGGTAAAAATGCGTACCTCTTCAATCTTCTTCATGAAAATAAATCTTATCTGGCTTTTTCGGAGGGATCCAAACATGTGAATCCTTGACCTCAACGTTTAGAAGCTTAATTCTTGTCCACTGGATATATAATCCCAGTAATTCCCGCAAGAGCAAGACCTTACTAGGGCGCGCTCGATTTACTCTGGTGGCTTCTGTTATGTCACGAAAAAGTCAAATTTGGGGGTTTTACGTGCCAAACCTACGACGGGCATCTGGCACGCCCCAGCGGAGGACTGAGGATTAATTTCGTGCAACCGAAAGCTCGGTTACATGGCGCCTTCTCCACGATAAGCCTCCGTCATATTGCGGGCACCTCGGTCGGGATTCGAACCCGCCACCTGGGGATCCGTAGGCCGGCGCTCTCGCTTCGGAGCCACCGAGGCGGCTTCTGTTATGTCATGAGCAATGCTGGACAAAGGTAGCTCTTGATACTACAAGGCAGGAAACATCTGCTCCGCAGCAAGGTATAAGACAAGTTATAAATGGCACCCGAAAAGACGCCCTCTCCCCTCCCCCCCCCTAACGCAATCTGAAGTGGAAACGGCTATGCACTCTAACTTTCTAACTTCACATTAAAACCAAGCGCATTGAAAGGCGTGCCGCATCAATGTTCGGTCGGGACTCATGTTTAATCAATGAGTCGAGAGATGCTCGGCGTCGAAATGGCACGTACCAATCGCCGAGTTTCCGTCGTCGTCGTGCAATGTTTCACGAAGAAAGAGAACAGAGCGATGGGGGCTTTGAACATTCCATAAGCTCCATTCACCTCTAATTCTTAAGGGGCAGTGGAAGCTAAGAGCTCGTTAAACTAGTCAACCGTCAGTCTTGCACCACGTGATCACATTCTCCGCACATGCTCACGTGCAAAAAGCAGGGTAAGCTGACGAGGTCCTGCAAGCACGCAGCTTTCCTTGCCCCTAGCTCTAAGGCGAACGCCTCACCTGGGTAGACGAAGCATCCACGGTGAGCACGGCTTTCCCGGGGCTGAGCAGGGCGGCCGGCGGGCAGGAGGCGCCCCCCGCGCTGTAGAAGACCCAGCTGCCGCTGAGCAGGTTGGTGCTGCCGCCGTGTCCTGGCTGCAGCTCGGGCCCCTGGCCGGAGCACGGGGGGCCCCCGTAGCTGAAGGCGCACAGGGCGTCCCCCCGCAGCTTGCTCAACGTGCACTTGCGCTGCTCCGCCATGGCCCCATCCGGCCGGCGGCCCGGCGCCGTGGGCCGGCCCTCCGAGCGGCACAGCCGAACCACCAGGTCAAGGGGGCTGGCCGGGTAGGCGCGGCTACGGGACTTCCATCGCGGGGTTCCCGCACTCTGCGACTGCGTCCACGTCTGCGGGGGTCGCGTACGTGCGTCTCGTTAAGGGGACACGTGGTGTCTCGGCGCATCACGGCTCTGAGCAAGTGGAGCTGAAGCTCACGCTGCCAAACTCGGGGATACTGGGCTCAACCATAAGGCACAAAATAAGCTACGCTCCAAAGTAACAATGCTTCGGCCTCCTTTTTGCTTAAGATCACGGTTGCCAGTTGTCTGAAGCTTTATCTGAAATCGCAAGAAATGTTTGAAATCGCAGGAAATGTTTCTCCGTCCTCCAGAAATGTTAGAACAGCTTGCGACAGAGAAAAACAATATCACCCGAGCTTTCCAACACCGTATTGTCACGAATGACAAATGATGAGGCAACGTATCACCGAAGAAACTAAACGTTTAATGGGGCAAACTTGTGCCCAAAACAAAATAGGAAAAGGTTAGCGTCGCAGGCATCGATGCAGTCGATGCAGCAGGATCAAGCGCTGGGGCAAAAACTTACTTTGGCTCGCCACGCAAAGCCGGCCCTTATGTACACGCGTGGTCTTCTGGAATAATCGGCGTAGAAGGTTCGACACATAGAACATTTGGACCTAGAATAAGCAACAATGTTCTCGAATACACCAGAACGCGACATTTAGACACATAACAAAAAGATGCGTCCGCTCCCAGGCATCGAACCTCAAGCCCTCTGCGTAGGAGCCAAGGGCAATAACTAGTCGGCCACGGGCGCGCGCTTGCAGACGCGTGTGGCAGTATCTAAAGCCGATGAAGTCACACTTTTGAATTATGATGATCGACAGTTGCGTCTGCTCTGCACTAAACACCAAGATGGCGGCATTCACTAGCAGATCGGGGCACGCAGTGCCGATATTGTAAGCGTAGCTCATTTGGTGGCTCTAGTCACGCCTGCTCGTTTCGATTTGCGCAAGCATTGTAGCACGTACCATGTACTCTATGCCGACACACCCAACTACAAATGTTGCTTCGGCATTGTACCGGCATGTCGTGCATCCCTATCGCGTGAAGCACGTTAAAAGACCCTCGGCTAGTAGCTGCGTTACACTTGCTAATTTCTCAGCTGAATTTCTCACCTACAGCGGAGACACCAGATAGCCACTGCAGCTGACTTGCTTCCCGGTGTTTAAACAAACACACAACAGAATTACTGGAGTGTCCTTCATTGTTTTGGGGGCAAAAACATACTTCTGCACAGTTTTCACTTATTTTGCAAGGCCTAAAGCCAGCTGCACAATTTTATAATTTTCTAGTCACCTCTTTCTCCGTCAAAATTGTATTCGCCAAATATTCGAGGTCGCACGAAGCTACAGGTACAGCGTATGACTTTTTATTTATCTGATACCCGCACAGCCTTCCAGCATTACAGCAAGAAGGAGGGGGGGACGGATATGTGCACGCAAACGAAAGATAATTGAACAGGTAATCATCTCCAATAAGCTGTGCACGAAGCACCAAGTAGATAGGACAAAATGCATCACAATTCGCGACAATGAAAGCATTTTTTTTTTCATTTTGCAGCTTTCAAAGCATTTCTTTTTTAAATATTTTGTGTCATTAAAGCATTTTAACACATTTCGTGACATTCAAAGCATTTCTCACAATCATGACATATTTTTAAAAAAATCATACGATACATATGAAACCCTGTCTCTTGGAATACAATAAGGTCTGCAGCTCCTATACCTCATTTTAATTATAATCTACTGTGTTAGTAAGACTTCTGCTTGGGATTTATTTCTGACACAATTGTATACTATCAGTCAAATGAAGCTACCGAATCCAAAGCAGTGCATAAAAGGCATCATTTGACAAGATTAAGACAACAGCAGAAGGCAATCTGTTCTACTGGCAAACTGTTCTTGGAAAAAAATTACCTCTTAAAAACTGCAGTCTTACACCTATATTTGTGCACTTTATGAATATGATCCACACACACGTGCGGATAGGTCATATGGGGAAAACAGGTAGGTTTCACGTGGGATGCCAGTCCAGGAGTGAAATACACTGTGGACAAACTGCAAATGAAGCCAAGCTCTGCGGCAATTCAGTGTACTCCATTTCAACATTTTTCTGGAGCGCGTTGCACTAAACTCTCTACTTTTTACTCATTATTCTAAAACATACCTAGTTTCTATATTTTGAACTTTTTCTAATTAATTTTTATTTATACCCATACGGTAGAGGCATATTCTAATGTAGGTATCATGTTTGTTTTACACAATACTTCCCGCGTAACCTGTGGAAAGTCATGAGTGTTTCGACGTAAGAAACCCAAAGATTTTAAGATTTTGCTACGGTATAATCTACATGCCGATGCCAACATAACAAAGATGCGAGGTAAACACCTAATACTTATATTTGGAAACTGATCTATCTTGAATTCATGTTGTTGATTTCATAAAAAGAACCGGTGGTTGATAGTTTTCTAGAAAAAGACATGCACACGGTTTTATCTAGATTCCATTTCCTTTGTCATTTCCTGCACCCTATATGTATTTTATCTAGGCCCCTTTGAATGGTGTTGTCACTACCAGATGTTCCTTCTCTACCATAATATGCAATCATCTGCAAACATTCTCATGCATGAAATAACCGACTCATTGTTTACATATACTGTAAACGACTTATTTTTTACAAGGACCTAATTTTTGCAAATTTCACGAATCGCCTACAATTCGCGAAAAATAGGTCCCGCGAATAATTCTGGTAAAATATAAACGCACTGGAATCTAGATGGAGCTCCTACCGCGTCGCGAAGATTAGAACCCGCAAATTATTCCAAAATTTTAGCTTTGACCTAAATTGCAAAATATTGATCCCGCGAAAAATAAGCCGTTTAAAGTAATAAAAATAATAAAGGTCCTAGAACTGACCCCCGTCGGACTCCCAATGTCACTTGTACAATTTTTTATTTTTTATTTTTTTATTCTCTCCCATTTATTACAACGTACTAGCATCTTTTGTGTAAATATTCGGAAATCCAGGAGATAACTTGACAGTTCATACTAAAATGCAATAACTTTTCTTCCAATAACTTATGAGGTAGCATATCAACTGCTTTACTGAAATCTAAGAAAAAAGAGTCAAAAGTTTTCGCTTCAGTCAAATCGTAAGTAAACTAGGTTAACTGCGTGACTATAGTAATGGTTCGAGTCCGTAAAACACAAAAAAATAAAATCGGGAGAGCATGTCTTTGCCTCAAAATGGTAAACAGCACACAATTCGTACACAAAAATGCAAACATGGACGGACTCTTTGATTAATATGGCTTGGTGCCAGAGGAATTACAGCATAACAAAAGGGGGGAGTTCACAACATCTTATTAGTAGATCACATCGCGGATTGAACTTCAACTTTCTTTTTACAAGTCTATGGCTGAATAAGGACAAAGGCCAGTTTGATATGACAGACAGTTTGATAGGGGGCCATGAAGAAACTGACACTAGGAAACAAGGTGATCCTTCGCTTCCCATTGTGATGTTGCCGCAACTTTCTTGCGAAGCATCTCGCGTAACGTGTGGTTAGCAGTTGCAATGATTTTCCACATTCCTGCTTTTCTAACTTCTGGGGTGCTATGGCCACGCTACACTGTATCTTCTCTTCTGAAGTGTAGTCACTGCTGCCAAGAAATAATCTCGCCTTTGTTTGTTACAAAAAGGGAGTTCTCTCATTTGCAGTCATTGTGTCCCAGACATGAGAGTGTCTGCTTCCGGCAGAAAACAGTAGTTAAAATGTAAAGGGCAGTGTGAGTCGACTCGGTGCTTCAATCACAAAGAACTAACACGGTAAACAAGAATTGATGCCTGTTCCACATTTTATAAACATGAATTACTGCCGTCATATAAATAATTAATGCGGTGACATTCATGAAGCACTGAGAATGTTTTCATGCCACCGGAGAATACAAGAAAGATAAATTTTAATATATAAGGGTGTGCCTAGGTTTGATCACAAGAAAACAAAAATGGCAGGAGTTAGATTACAGTAAGTTATATCAGACTACCATCAAATCATGTGAACCTAGAATATTAAAGAGACCCGATGGAGACAAGGAATGCAGATGTGACATCATCACTTAATGGGCTGTCGCAACCTCATGCTTATAACTCGTCACTCCCTCGTTTCATCATACTGCAAAGAACCTTAGTAAAACAGTGACTGCTTGTGCAAGATGGTGGTCCACTTAGCGAAATGTCAGCTGCCACTAATGCCTCCCTTTGCTCAAGTTGCCCCACCCAGATACAGCAATATACTTTTGGACACTGTCTAGGTTTTTATTGTACTTACGGAGACAGTTTTATGACAACAGTGTTATTTAGACATACAGGGTGTGTCAAGAGATAGCTTTAAAGAAAGGGATGAGCTGGCATTTTACAATAGCAAGGCCTGACAGCTTTGAAGGAAGAAGGCGGAGTACACTTAATACAACTTAACTCTGTTGAAACTATTGCTGAAAGTTGCTTTCATTCTTGGGGTGCTATATATTACTACTAGGTCACCTAAATATTTTGAGAATGTTTTGCTGTGTAGTAATTAAATATCATATATGTGGTTGGATGTTTGAGGGGAAAACTGTCACGTCTGAAAGACACACCCTAGTGTATCTGAAACCTGAGAATGTGCACCCCAGTCCCACATACACGCATTATATAGTTAAGGGGGCCAGGAGCTTTATATTTGTATATTTATTAAGAAATAAACCGTATCCTTAAAAAATAAGGGTATCATAGAAAAAATTAAGGCAATCCCAAATTTTTCTATAAACAAACTTTTTTTTTTTTTGTGAGGAAAAAAACAGAAAAACAATAAGGCACTAGGCGTTTTTTAGATCTATGTATTTAAGTAGGCTGCTTTCAGTTATGAAAATGCTAAGTAAAAGCAAAAGATACAAA